CACTTGTTAAAGTGCGAAAGTAGTTAGCTACATCGACCTCGCATCACGCCGACCGGCCGCCATGAAGACAGATTGAATTGGTGCGCGCGTTGGTTACTGGGATATTGCATTAAAATTTCTTTCCCCAGGCCCCCGCAATGACGTCACAGATCACCTGGTCAGAGTTGACTGTGAGAGGGGAAAACCTCTCTCTTAGGGAATGTTCTTTTAACTCAACAGAATGATCCATCTGATTAACCATCTTAATGTTGGTTTAAACCAAACATGGAATGCTAAAAAGAACTACAGATTTTGGTTGTAAGAGAACAAAAAAATAAGTGTGTCAATATCATTAAATGGATATACATATTGCATCCAGTATTTAGGTGATTGTTTATTTAATTTAGGTAGTTATTATATATTCTTTTGTTTGTCATAGGAAATAAAGAGAACTATGCATCTCCCATGCAGACATCAAAATTTGGAGACAAAGACTTCATTAAAGAATGAAATGGCACTTGTGATTTACCTTTGTGATCACTGGTCTGCCACGTGAAGAAAGAAATGTTTCAATACCCCATTTCTGAATTACCCTTGGCCTCTTTTTCTAAACGAGGCCTGGTGCTCAACCATTCTTGTGAAAATGAGTTTAATTTGCATGTGAATGAAAACTTATTATCATATGAAAGGATGAGCACCAAGAGTCATTTTGAAAATGAGGCCAAGGGTTATTTAGAAATGGGCTGTTAAGAAATTGCACATTACTAATACGGTATTAATTAAATGTATGGATAAGTGAGTTGTACATAAATGTTTAAAAAAAAATCAACCTCTTTGTCATAACATGGATTATAAATAAATGTTTAAAAAAATCAATCCTTTGACAATGTCATAACAACAGAATGTTCTGCCAGAACAGAATGTAAGACTGACTCATGACTCAACTTTTTTGTGTTTTCATGTTATTGTTCAACTGTTATTCTGTCTGTCTTGGGGAGGGGGGGGGGAGGGTTGCCCCAATACCTTCAAAACCTGGCCTATTTGAGGACAAAATTTATCCATTTTGCTTCCCTTTTTGGGACACATTGAGAGTCATTTATTGCCTGAAGATCATTTGCTGCCATCATTTACAAGCTTAGGTGGAATAAAGGATTACCTCTCCCATTGAGACTGATACACTAAAACATGTCTAGATATGGCATTTCTTTTTCTACCATAGGTAAACATACTCTCTTCCTGGGTTCAAAAGTTAATTGCATCACAATAATTATCAGCTCACCACACATTAAAGGAATCCTGAATGGAAGAAGCCTTTCACTTATGATAGACTGCATGAAATGAAAAGATATAGAAAGAAAATCCGGGAAAGGAAAAGTGAAATTCCATAAGGGTGGTATGAGAGTAGATTTGGAAAACAAAACCTCCTTGGTAGATGAATGGCTGTTTTCTGAAAAAAGACTGAAGACAACCAGCACTAACACCAATACTTAGTACTTGAACCCATCCAAGCATGGCACTGCGGAAAATCTTTTGCCTCAACCACTCTATGTATGGTCAAATCAAAATTGAACAACGAGGTAGACGCTATGTCTGAAAGCACAAAGAGATAAGTAGACATACATTTGGGTGTGGTGTTACAATATTGACCTTCATCCAAATTTCATTCTCACTTCCGGTGCGTTCCGCTAGGGATAGTGGGACCGTACTCTCGGTTTTGTAGGAAGTAGGTGAGATTATTGTGGCAGAAAGGAAAACCTGGATGTATTTCTTTCACACCACTCTGTGAAAGTCTGTGTATGAAAAGTTTTGCTTTTGGAACGTGATCTAAGTCAACTTCTTCTCCTTGCTGTGGCATGTAACGTTTTGAGCGCGCGCAATTATTTCTTCTGTGAACGACTTGTGGTGAAGGTATGCGGTAAAGTAAATAACTTAATGTGCTGTGCGTTCTTTTAGGGTGGCATATTTTTACCCTTTAATCTTATGATAAGCTCAGGTATAGGAAAGCTGTAAGCTAGAAGATACTCGATCAACTGCAGATGCTCGGAAAGTCAAATTTGGCTGATGTTCGCTCGCTTATAACTTTAAATTCGCTCCCAGCTGTTGTCCTCTGTCTCGACCGTTTGTCTTTCATGAAGTCTTTGAAAGTAAATAATAGAGATCACAGTCATTCTTGTCACAAGATGCTGGTGTTGAAAACAAAACCAAAGTACTTGGAGTATTGTCAAACAATTTTTCTCTTGAAATGCTTTGCGCGTTTAAAAGAAGTTAACATAAAATCGATTTGTTTTTTTGCCAAGATTGAGGTTAACCTGGAACATAATTTGTCTACTGTAGTCTTAAAATGTCCAGAGCTGAAGAGATACATTTGGCACTTGTTTCTCACCGAAGTTGTTTAGAAACTGAAACTGTTTGTTATTGTTATAACCGTGCCCTTGCGGGGTTTTATTGGGTGTGGAAGTTCTCTTTTAGATGTATTTTGGGTATGATTTTCATGCTTCTATATGCACGAACAATACATCATGTTTGCGTGTCTTGCGTTGAAGAAATGTCAAGTTGTAACTCGTTAATTCTAACCGCGAATATTTCATTGTTCTGTGAGAGTCATGATATGTACTACAAACTTGTCATATTCCTTGTATGTATATATTTGTTCACGGCTTTATCTGAGCTTAAATTGATCTAATCCAGAGTTTAAAAGGATTCGAGAATTAAGGCTTACTCTTTCAAGATAAGTAATCTTCCAGAAGCCACAACGAACCAAAAGCACGTTGTGGAAATTTTTAATTTTGGCTTCAAGAACGCAATTGATATTACAAGGAAAATATTTACATTTAGAATTTTTGTGTGAAAAAGTTATGGATTACAACCGTTTCTATGTAAAAGCAGTTTCTCATGCGAAAAGGGGTCAACAAAATTGTAATACGATTTGTTGGTGATCAAATTTTTGCCTGAAGACCGATTAACAATAGTAGTAATATTATTTTGGTATATTTTGGGGTCTCACCCACCATTTCATTGGGAAGGAGTCTATTTATAGCATTGGTGTTACCTCTTAATTCTACATGGTTATGATTATACATGAATTTTCTGCTGACTTTAATTTACATTTGTTTTCAAACGTATTGGATGACCCTAATAACCCTTGTTCACAATTCGACAAAACAAGTCTAAATCTCTTGTCAGATCTTAACATGTCTTTTCCAGATAGATAGCAGAATTATTATGGACCAATGCACAACTCACGAGATATTTTAATTTGCAAGTATTCTGATATCAAATTTAGCTACTTAGTTTTCTGACATTACGAATCCAAGGAAGCAAGAAACTTCTATAAAAAAGTTGCTGTTTTACTTTTTCCTTTATTTTTGATATCTTATGTCACCTATGAAATTGAAATCAGATGTCAGAATGATATCACATTAATTAGCACATTGATAAAGAATGCCCAACATAAAATTCAAATTTTAAACAAAATACATGCTGCCCATTAAAATTATGAAAACCTTCAAAATGAAATAAAGCAAAGGAAGAGAGAGAAAACCATTTTTTGTTTTATCATGTGTTACTGTATAGATAAAAAATTTTTCATATCATATGGTATCACTAAGTATTGCTTTGTGCAGTTCAAGCTCAAGTATAATTTGTGTGTTTGGCTGTGACCAAGGCCAAGTGGATACCTCCTAAAGCTTAAGTTGATTGTTCAATGACAGTTCAACAATTTCTTGGAAAGCAGAGGCAAAGTTGGAGAGGGAGGTAAGGGGAGGGTTGTTCATTTTCCAAGCCAAATCTCATGGGTATTATGGAAAATTTCTACTGCAAAGTTTGTTTATGCAGGTGTTTCTCTTTCCAATTTTTAACAAAGTCCAGTACATGTACATTGCTAATTGATGTGTGACCTGCTTAGTTACTGTTTAAGTACCTGCTAATTTGTATAACATTTTATTTAGTTCATTGTGTTCCTATTGAAACAATTTGTCAAGAATTGTTAGACTGAACTTTTTTTTACCAATAAATATGCATTTCTTTTAATTTCTGTATCCGAATGTGGGGGCTCTTCCCCTGTTAATTTTAAGTTTGGAGGAGTTTTATTACCCATGGCTCCCTTGTTCATCTCTCATGCTCCACTGCCTTATGAAATGTTGACAAAAAAATGATTGCAGCTAACCATGTTAGGCATGATTCTGTCATTCTTTTGAGCCCAGTTCTCTCTCCTCCCTATCCTGTGTTAACCATCTCCAGATGTAACAGTTACAAATGGATTGGGGTTCAATGTATTTTATTGGCTTTAGATTTTTAAAACCATTTTGATTTTGATTTTTCTATGTTTTATATCTTGATTTTCACTGTCTTGAAACCTAGCAAAATAAGAATTTAACTTTGAATAGTATAAAGAAAGTAACAATTAAACCAAAAAGACTAAAAGACAAGAGGAAAATTTTCATCTAAGGATACACACATTCGTGAGTGTGGGCAAAAGTAAGGTTTTGATAAGTGAGAATATTACCAAATATGACAGTGTTGATTTGAAGGTGCTAACATTTAAACAATCATGATGAGGTCAATACTTGCTTTCAGAAAAAAATGTGTTGTTGAGACATGATTAGCTAGACAGTAATTAATTGATAAGCAAATGAGCGATGTACTTGCAAGAATCATTACAAAGCTTGGAAACAATTCTAGTACCAGATGTTGCTTTCTTTTGCAAATTATTTGGTTCAATTGCGTTTGAAGAAGTGAACAACAGGAGAACTCTTGTCTGTGGGGCTGGACATTATGGATGTGTGGTATTTGGTGATAGAATTTGATCTATTTTGGCTGTTATTCAAAGTATCAGTTGCAGAAGTTTTGTTTATTTAGTCATTGTGCAAGACTGCTCTGTGGCTGATTGTTGTCCACTGTATTGATTTTATTTTCTTTGTAAACTGTGCTTATCTGGATTAAGGTGGCTTTAAATATCACATTACACATGAAGGATGCATGTAAAGTCACATTTGTTTTTTTTTTAATTGCAGAATGGTTTGATTATTCAAAGGCAGAGATGGATGTTTCTTTGTGGAGTGTGTTACTTTTGGCAAGTGTCTTTTTTCTGCCTGGTGGATGTCAGGAAGGTAAGTTCTGTTTTGGATCATCTCAGATGACTGATTGCGTAGTACCTGGGTTAGGGTAAGAATATTCCCAGTCTTATCTGTATGTATTGCTTTCTGCAGCTTTCCTGATATTAAGACATCATGAATATGAACAATTAGACCTGTAATTTTGTTCTCTGCAAAGTGTGGAGGGAGTGTTATCTGATTGACTAATTCAAAACAGAAACAGATTTTTATATACAGGTATGACTCTTAAAGGAGAAACAACAAACGAATAAACTTGACATTGTTCATGCAACATGTAAATTCATTTACTGCTGGCTCTTTTAATTAGCAGGAAGGACCAGAACGAGCCCTCTTCCCTGCTTGCTCATGTTAATAAATCAAAATAACTCATAAATTAAAAAGTTTCAGCCAATTCTTGTTAAAAAAAAGGAAACAATAAAAACAACAACAACAACCAATTAAAAACAAAGAAACACTCAGCTAATGCTACGCTGAATCATAATTTTAAGAGAACAATTTCCTTAAATGGGGTCTGAAATTTCCTAAACTAGCTTTTTATGTCCTGAGAACTGGTACCTAGTAGTAGCCCTTGTGACATTACACCCAGTGTAATCCATTTGCCTGTCATACACA